ACACCCTGATCTCACGCCACACGACAAAAGCAAGTCTAAGGGGCATGGGTGGAAAACGCTTCGGTGGGGGCCTCAGTCGGAGGCACCTTTCATGAGCACCACGCCCCAACCTGCGCCTCCCGTCCCGCAGACCATGTACGCCGGAAACGCCGCCGCCGCCCACCTGCGCGGGGTGCAGTCCCTGAGCCGGAGCCCCGCGCTCTCGGGCCGGGCCCTGGTCATTACCGACGACACCCCCGACGACCTGTACGAGCTGGTGCGCCCGTTCTTGGCCAGCCGGGGCTACGGTGTCTCCGCGTTCACGTTGCCCTACGCCCTCGCCCTGGTTCTCAGCCTGCTCGTCGTGTGTGTCCTGGCGCTGGCACGGACCCTGAACGTCAAGCTACCCTTGCCGGCGACGACGCCGTCCACTGTGGCCTACCTCTGCCACGGCCCGGTCCTGGACGGCAGAGACGGTCGCCTCGCCCTCGGCTACAAACCCCGGTTCACGGCGGAAGAATCCGTGCGCAGATCCCTGCTTTACTACAGCACCGTCAGTTTGTGAGCGTGTGGCCACGTCTCTCCGTCGTGACCGTATCACATGTACCTTACTTCCACCATAAAAAAAAAAAAAACTTTGTGACCACGACTGGGAAAGATCGTGTTATGGGTGTGCAGTTCTAACGGCAATTCTCACCGCATGTTTTTCACCCACTTTCACGGCTTTGTCTTGTAACCGCAAGGCGCCTTGAATGCTTTTTCATATTTTTTTTTGTGCGCTATGTTGTTTTTTGTGCAGCATTTCTTTGCGGGCTTAAAGAAAAATCTTTGTAGAGATCGCTGGCTGACTGCACTATATAGGTTGTTGTGTGTGGCCCCTATGTTTGCCGTGTTTGTGCAGGCCTAAAAAGTTACGTGCGTCGTTGTTGTCTGTCCAACGTGGGTGACAATCTGGTTTTAGTTTTTTTTTTTCTTTGTATACATTTTGTACTATTTATGGGATTTTATGTGGGATCTTTCATTATCAAGTAGTTTTCGTCCTCTGAAACTTTCATTTTGTCTGGGGAGAGGGGGGGGCTGTCACCTTGTCAGGCATGCCAATGCCTTTTGTGGCGGCCCCCCAGACAACTGCATTCCTCGACGGTTGTCTGAATAAACTTTGATTCGATACCTAAGTTGCTCTGGAAGCAGCTGGAGATCGAACCTGCCACCACAGCTTTCTGTTCTGGCCACGATGCGTCGTTGATTTTGCTCTAGTCGCTAATATAGACGCCGACGGTCTATGACATCTGGAGCGCGTACTCTTCTGCGGAGAACTTGGGAAGCCAATCGTTTCAACCTAAAGAAGAAGCGGAGCTAGTCACGAGGCTCAAAATATGTCTAGAACCGCACCGAGACCTTACGGTCTCGGTGCGGTTCTTGCACAGAGGGAGGCGTCGGGAGAAGATCGACATATCGCATTTGCGTCGCGGAGCCTGGTTGCTGCAGAGCGAAACTACAGCCAGCTTGATAAGGAGGCGCTTGCTATGGTGTTCGGAGTGACGCGTTTCAAGCAGTACCTTTGGGGGCGTTTGTTTGAGGCGGCCACTGACCATAAACTACTCCTGGGGCTGTTGGCAGCTGACAAGCCCATTCCCGAGTTATGTTCGCCACGTATCTTACGCTGGGCATTGTTCTTGTCGGGGTATGATTACACCTTGAAGTACAGGCCTGGCGGACAGATGATGGTGAATATAAAAAATATTTATTATTATTATTATTATTTCTCGGGAAACCTGGTCCTCAGCGCACAGCTTTTGCAGCGGCGAGGACCTGAAACATGGTTTTCAAACCCGACGAGAAAAGAAGCGTGAGGAACGCGGGAAGCACGAGCGGACATTCCATCTATCGGGAGGAGTGTGTTTCGGCGTCTCGTCGCAGCGGGGCGCCCGTCACGTGGCTTTCCTCTCATCCGTTGTCTGCCGCTCTACCTTCAATTCCGACGGCCGCGTCTCGTGGCGACATGCCAGGCTTTGTCAGTATAGAGGAGGCTATGCTTTCGGCCGCCAAGTGCGTGTCGCTCGTGTAAAAGGCAGCGCGCGTGCAATTGAAAGCTTTAATTTGTTTTAGTCAAGTCTTTTTCTGGCCTCTGAAAATAGCAAACGTGCGCGAGCACAGCTTTGGCTGGCGCTGAACATGCGCGCGAGCGGAGATTCCGAAAACTCTGGATATGACGTCACGCTCCGCAGGAAGGAGGGGCTTCGGCGGTACTTTGAAATTTATTTTCTGCATCCTCAGTATACCTAATTGATAAAAAATCTCAATATTCGTGATTCTGGAGGCCCACTAAAGACGATTTATTTTCCCTCAAATACAGAACGTCCCTGTCTTCCTTTAAGGAGCGGTCGCTTTAATTTGTTTAGAACACATTAACTAAGCGAGGGTCACACTGCTTATACATCATTAAAAAGACAGTCCGCGTACAGATTCGAACGCAAGTCACCACGAGATACCTGCTTCGAATGCCGCCTGGCAATGAGTTCGAGAAGAAAGGACGCGCGGCATTTGAACCACGGAAATTGTGCTGTCTTGTGTGTTGGCAGACTGTCTTTTGGCTGGTGTGTAAGCAGTGCGACCCCGGCGTTAAACGGTCGTCGACCCGTTCCGATTCCATCGTATGTAACACCCCGGCAGTTGCTGGCGACACGCAGTACGCAGCGCCAATGCAAAGTTGCCTTAAAGCGTCTATACAGCGGGCAAGTGTTCCCAAAGGCGCCTTTGGGCAGCACATCGGGGCGCAAGGAGGGGCGGACCAATCGAACGGCAGTGTAGAGAACGCGCTGGGACCGCACGGTAGCGAGGCAGTCAAGCGCGCCCCGCCATTGGTTGAGGTCGGGGGGAAACAAAAGCACATGGGCGCATCTCGACAGTAAACAAACGCACGAGGCGCGCAAAGAGCGGAGAACTTACGCGCCGTGTGGCCTGTTGCAGCACAATAGACAAACACGCGGCCCTGACGTCACGCAGCTGCGGTGGCGCTGTCGACGGCACTGCGCATGCGCAGATGCTTGCCTTCACGCGAATTCCGTTTCTGGGCACGCGCAGTGCCCACACGTTGTGTGGGAAACGCGGGCTTGTTTGTAAACAGCGTGTCGGTCTATATGTTCACAAGAGAGACACCGTCCCCCTAAATGCGAGAGAAAAAAATGGCGTCCACTTTGAACGAACCCGGAAGTTGCTTACAGTCAGTACCTCTTATAGAAAACTTCAGACCCGCGCCCACAAAACAATGAGAGCCTAAAGAAAACCTGGCGTTAGCGTTGGGCATGCTTTGTTCACCCTCGGCCGAGACTGCAGCCAATGCCACAAGCACCAGAACACGAGGTCACTGCTTTGAATTGTTCTTCCGCAAAACAAGCGCTGCGCTCTGAAATGCACGTCTCAAAGGCAGGACCGCGGGCTAGCTCGCGCTCGTGGCTTTGGCTGCAGTCTCGGTTCAAAAACGAACGCAGTATAGCATAACGCCGTAAAAGCTGACGTTTTGACCCTACTAGAGCCACGGAATGTTCCCTGACAAGCTTCGTTTCAGAACCGAGTCGAGGCGCAGCAGTCGAGATTTCCAATATGGCACTGCCCTGTGCGTTCGACGCGAAGCGCGTAAAGAGTAGCGTTCGTTATCGTGTGAGTTCTTCAATCCACGTTCCAGGCCTGTGGCGACACTGGTTTGTTTTTTATAAATGTTCTTTCTTACCTTCCGAGCGGTGCGTGACTCGCCCCTCTCTGTCTCCGTCTCTCTCTCTCTCTCTCTCTCGCTTCGAAACACATCGAGGTTGAGTGTTAGGCTTAGCGTCTGAGGCGTAGAGTTTGAAACGCAGCACCAGCGCAACCGGAGCGAGCAGACGAGCCGGCAATCTTCTTCAGCTAAGAATTTGAGCGGCTATTTGACATTAAAAAAAAAAAAAGAACTAGAGAATCTCAACGCACGTTCTGTTCGGTTCTAAATCATCCATGCACAGAGCTCCCACCCGTGCGTACCAACCGTAGCCGTGGTAACGCGGATACTTTTTACGTAAGTTTTTTGTTGTTGTTGTTTTGGGCCGATTCACAAAATGGCCGACTGATCATTTCCGCCACAAGCTAATCCAGCCAATGGGAACTGGATTCTGCGAGACTGACTTCCGGTAAACGGACCGAATGGAATTCGGCACTCTGGGAACATTCAGTGGCCCTAGACCCTCAATATATTACGTCGGTGAAAGCAGGCATGTACGTCATAATGTATATATCTTGGCAAACCGTGTAAGGCCGACCACTGTGCGGGTTTATACATTGACGCAAGTAAAATAGAATAGCAACGAACAAGGAACATTAAAAATAGGCAAAGTTAGGAAGTAAAAAACAACGAGAAAGATGGGGGTTATGCATTGTCATCCAAGATTGTCGAAATTCACCTATTAGCCGCCACCTGATTCCCTACCCTACCGAAAAATCCGGTATAACTTTTCGCTATCCGGATTATGGAACCGGAAATCTATCTGGATTCTATCTGGACTCTATCTGGAATTTAGGTTTTCAGAAATTATTCTTTTGTTCTCAATCTGGATTTCGGGTTTCCAGTAACAAATTTCCGGTTCCATATTCCGGATAGGGAAGGTTATACTGGATCTTTTGGTAGGGTAGCCTACGCCAATAACATGTTCAAACCACGAGTCGTGCGTGGCAATGCATTATTTTTTTATCAAATTAAATATTAAATGACAAAGTTCATTGGTTACATGAGACTAGGATATAAATAGGACGATGGGACTTGAGCGAAGCATCGTGCACACGGAATGTCCGGCCAGTTTTATAATTGAACTCGGAGATGTTGGGGACACGTAAAAACATCGCACGGCGGGGGGCTTTTGGATGGCGCCCACTGACGTCACTAGAGGAATATAGCGGACCACCGCCCCGAGTGCAGCTGACCATATAATGCTGGTGGCGCCGTCGGCATATTTATGTGCTGATCTTTTTGTGTATTTGGGTGACCTTTTTGCAGCGTACAAAACTAAAAATAAAACCTCAGACAGCGTTGGAGGGAAGCTTGACGAGGATCTGCAAAGAGGTGCAAGAAGGCAAAACAATTGACAGAAACACGGAAAAGACAACACGACGACACGTCACTTCTGCGCCATGGAAGAACCTATCAGAATAACTAGAGACTCCCATACTCGCATTCACGTCAAGAACCTAAGTTTAAAAAGTCCGGCTTCTTGAGGAGCACTACTAATTTTTCCTTCGTGCGTTAAATGAATATATACGTAGGCACACCTTAGTTATGTTATTTTATCGAGACGTACACTTTTCAGGCGCAAAAAACATCGCTGCTTCCTTCCACAACCAAATATTGCAAAAACTATAGACGTCTCTCGCATAACCTCGTACCAGCGCGAAACCGACGTACCCTCGACCTGGTGCGTTCGTGGATTGCCCGCTGACGCAGGGTATGCAAGCGCCAAGGGTATGGGCGAAAAGGATTAGAAACGGATGTCGTGCGTGAGTTAGTACCCAGCTTTTTACTGTGTTACAATTTTCGGAAACCTACGGTTGTCTGGTTGTCACTGCGTAGTCGCCGGATGCACACATAATTTTAATAAGCATAAGAACAACCACGGAAAGTAAGCGATGGGCACGGCAAGCTGCAGCACGAGTGTGACTGCAATGTCATTGAGCTTCACAGTTTCCCCAAGGATTCTTATATATGACGTCAGTCGATTGCGAGCTTTAATCGCGAGGTCTTTATATCAGACTCATCGTCACGTTTGTGCTCACGATTACTTCGTCTAAGGCAAGAGAAGCGATTCCAACCCGGTGCGGGGGCTCCGAATATAGTTATCACTGCAAGGCGCTATCGCTTTATGGCAGGGGTGGTAAGGCTAACCCGGCCTAAGAGCCGCAAACAAAACGACGAAACTTCCGAGAGCCGTGGGGGGAGGGGAGGGGGAGGGGCAAACTTTTGTCTAAAGCAATAAACGAAAGTCGAACTACTTTCAATCTATCAGAGTCAAAAGTAGTGGAACTGTACGTAAGGTAGCAGTAGCACAAGACTACCAAACCGCTACCTGTCTTTCGATTTAAAACGCGTTCCATTTCTCTTTTTGGGGAAGTGCTCGTGTGACCGGGAGGGTGTGGGTGTATGTGTGTGTGTGTGTGTGGGGGGGGGGGGGGGGGAAGGGAGCCGCGAGCCGCAGTGCAACACGCGAAGATCCGCATGCGGCTCGCGAGCCGCAGCTTGGCCACCCCTGCTTTATGGCATGTGACGAGTATAAAAACGTCTACGTAAAGCTACTCAACACGCAGCTATCAAATACCGAGAGCTTACCTGCACAGACCGCATTAAACTCTTCATATATACCTTCGTTGTGTAACCTCTATCAAAACACCCACCGTCTTCGTCCTCCTTTTGAGAAGGTGGCTTGAGCCAGCTGGATTCCACCGGACAAGTTCCAGCCAAGTTATTGTTGTAGCCCACCATAGCAAAGTCTAGCCAAATTCCCCCCTACCCACACCGTTGCCTAACCAGATAGTTACGCTGCCAAAACCAGCCGGGATTTCAAGTTTTAAGTCGTTAGACGGCGTCGTCGGCGCCACAATTCTTAAGGTGGCGGCGCTCTTAAAGAAGAAGGTCTATATAAGTATATAGACCTTCTTCTTTAAGAGTGCATGAACAAGGCAATGACTTCCTTTTTTTTTTAATGTGACAGCGAAGAAGAACCATTCGACATATGGTTAGGCCACCGCCATGACATGCGTGCTTGTGTGGGCAAGAACATGTCATTACAAGGCTGCCAAATCTATACGTTGAAGCGCGTGCTGCACACCGGCGTTTTTCAGGCATGGGGAACCAGTCTGGACATCATACGTGTTATATAATGTTTTCACCAAGCGTTCCACCAAATTTTATCACTGACTGCAAATGAAGGCACACAATGCGGTTAAAGAGTATTCTATAGATAAGACGACGTCGTACCGACGTAAATGCATACTTGAACGGAATAAACGGCTCTTAGGCTGAGCAGTACCATATAGAAGACAAAACCAACACATTAGTCATTGACAGTGGGATCCTCGACCCGGCCCAAGGGCCAACACGTCGAGGACGCAATCGCAGGGAACGTGCATGTAAGGACGCTGCGACGACGCAGGCCTTATCGCATTGCTCTGAGTTAAGAGTGTATCAGTTAAACTCAGGCGCTGCCTGAACCAGGGTCTATTAAAGAACACTCTACGGAACTGCGTGTCGCCCTGCTTAAAGTTCATTATCAAGATATATACGATTGTAGCCACGAACCTGAAAGCTCCTCTCGAAGACAACAATCCGGCGGTCGACGTCGCAACTCATCATCTTAGGCAGGACTCTGGTGGCCCTCGAAAAAACGACGAGGCCTAACACCGTGCCGTTCCCCGTAGTCCTTCTGCCGACGGACAGTCGAAGCCCATGGACCGTGTGGCCTATGACCACATAGGTGGACCGTAGCGGTCCGTGGGCCCTCAACTGCTGCCAGCGGTACCGGATGCCGCGAGAGAGGGCCAGGTACTCGTACGTGAGCGCCAGCTGACAGCGACCCGACTGCTTCTCCGGGTCGATCACGTGGCAGCCGCGGTCGTCAGCCGAGCACGGCAGCAGACGTCCCCTGCAGGACGGGGCACGAAGAAAGAAGTGCCGCGATTCTCTGTTTATTCTTCAACGCTTGTCCAGATGAACGTACAACCAGAGGCACTGGAACCTCATACGACAGAGGATATGGTCATGGCGCTCCGCCGAGTACCATGCATAGCGCCTCTGATATGTTGCGTTTATCTGGACGAAACAAAATATAACATAACAGTGATCCTACCATCGATCCCTGATCGTACCCTCTCACATCCCATACCACCGAAGCTGAATTAACTATCACAGTCAGGTCTATATATTGCGTTTCAAGCGTCGTATACGTGTAGACCAACCCGTAACAAGCAAGTCAGCATTTGCACGTACCAAGCAGGGTTGCCAGGTAGGTTCTAGCTCAAACCACCAAATGCCAAAAGGTGTAGCCCAAAAGTAGCCAAATTCAAGAAATTCATATAGCCCAAAAGTAGGCATAATTGAAATATCTGCAGAGCCCAAAAAATCGTGCGCTCGAATGTACGAGCTCAAGGTAAAGGGACGGCGTCTGCATATCTAGGGTAACGAGCAGTTTGCAAGATCTACACATCTTGAAATGCACTACAAAATTTTATTTCAAACACAAACAAGTACCAATATTTTTCACACGCGTTTCTGCAGAAACATATATGTTATGAGGCACTCGCTCGTGCTCGGCTGACAAGCTTCGTACATGATTTCGGTGGTAAAACGGGCAAAACATTCTTCAGCGGGGTTGATGTCCTTACATCATTCATTTCTTTCCAAGGAAAGCAAGCTTTACATAGAGGATGTTTTGAAGAGTTCGAAGGGACATTTTGTTCCTTAGGTCTATGTGAAGGGCACGTGACTGAATACTCTCTCCACGGCGGCCTTCGACTTGTGCAGTGCCAGGAGCGCGATGGCAAGCTCGGATAGCAATGGAAACATGGCTGCTCCTGCGCTTCTTAACTTGGCCTTGTTCAGATTATTCATTGTTCTAAATCGATTGTGTTTTGTTATGGCTCATTCTACTTTAAGAAACGTCTATGTTTCGCAAAAAACCTCCTTTGTCATATTAAATACATCACGCGTTATCCGACGGCATGAAATTTCGCTGGATGTCTTGAGCCTTCTTTAGTGTCCTTTCTCCTCGGAAGAGGTGCCTCCTGTACGAGGATGGTGGAAAACTCGGGGAGATAAGAGACGGTGTAAGAAGGAGAAAAAACTTGGGAGCATAAGATAAGCCACAATAAATACAAAAGCGATGTCTTCGGAGCTGAATCTAAGACGGTAGCTCACTGGAGCTAATATGATCTTGCGACGCTCACGCATCTTCACACAGAAAATCCATGAAAGCGGGAATCCTGAAACGGTGGACTCTCGCTTTGTGCCCATGCTGAAATGACTTTTGTACATCTACTCTAATTAAGCAAAAAAAAAACGCGTTACACTTTGAAATAGCCCAAAAATAGCCACATAGGCAGCCGCCTTATTTCGACGCCAAATGCATAACAAAATAGCCCAATTTGGCTATTAATAGCCAAACCTGGCAACCCTGGTACCAAGTGCGGGCAATGCGCGTGGGCAGAAACTAGATTCGCGTGAAATGAGCGTTCTGCGCATGCGCTGTGCCGACAGCAACGTCACCGTATCAGCGTGACGTCACAGCCGCAGAAACGTTGGGCGTGACTTATTACTTTTGCGCTTCTTGTTGCGGGATTCGTTCTTCTGCTTATTGACTAGTGCTGCGCTGTGAGCGATAATAAGATGTTCAAAACTCGCCATGCCCTGCGTTTTTTATTTTGTATTTATTTGTCAGTGAGTTTTGATATTAGAGACTTCGTTACTCAGTACATCACCTACACATAATGGAATTTTTTTATTATTTAAAGTAATTGAAAATCAGTTGTGAAAGTTTCTGCCAGGCGGTCACATCCTAGAAATGAAGCATGGCTCTCGATCAAGAGGACTCACCGAATGGCGGTTCTGCCGACGACGAGAGATTTTCGTCGCTGTCGGGGGACCGCTTCCAGTGCCCAGAGGGGGCTCATGCCCGTCGAAGTGAGAAGCCAGCGCTCGTTGGGGTACAGGTCCGGGAGCTTGGACAGCACCTCGAAGGCCGGCACCGTCCTCGGCGCGCCGCTGTCGGGACCGTACAGCATGCGCCTGAACGGGTTCAGCAGGCCCACGGGAGACGGTCTGTGCCGGAGGAACGTGAAGGGGGCGGAAGTCATTTCTTAGCGAGACAAAAGTGAGCACTTAATTAAGCAAGCGCATTAATTGACGAACACAGTATGATGTCATAAGGAAGGGCAAGACACAAACGACCGGAAACACTTCAAATGGCATTTACTTTAAAAAGCGAAAGCTCGCTCCAGAAAATCTGGGTTGTAATGTGAACGAGAGTAAATATGTTAGGGCTGGACAGCCGTCGGCTTTCGTCCGTCGGTATTTTGTTATTTTGTGCTCGATGCTGGGGTGCCTTCGTACTATCCAGGGGGAGAGCTATATAGTGCGCAGGCTCAGAACAGGTTCCGCAGCCCAGCAGACAAAGATAGTAGAGCGCAGAAGGTGATTGTTGAAATGGTCTATAGCTTGCTGACTTTGGCGACGCTCCACGCACTTATCCAGATGAGCGCCCGGAATCCTTCCGAAGACGAGTTGTCCGCCGCGTTGGTCTGCCCTGACGGCGTTGTCCGGCACGGCGCTGCCACGACCGGCCGTGGTCCAGCTGAACAGCAGGCCATCGGTCTCCAGCAGATACTGGAAGTGCATCCGGGAGACCATCGCCTCGCCCACACTCACCAGGCAAGAGGGCCTGCGTAACACCACGGCGCGCGAGATCATCGTTGCGGACGATGAGCGGTCCTACTGACCATACAGCCAGAACAAACGATTTTTTTAAATAAAAATTTAACTTAGAGAAGATTGTACATTATTTGTCGACCTCATCGTTACAGGTGATCGAGCCTTGGGAAACGGAAAAGGCTTGAGGAGTATTCGCCTCAGATGTGAGGTTCAAAACGTCAGCGAATAGCGGCCATATTGATGGTGTCATCATCATCATCAATATTGGCGTCCCAGTTTTAATGACGATGCTTATCGCGCTATACCGCAAGACTAATATTTTAGAAAATCAGATTATCTGAAGCGGACTTTCTGGTTGAGGGGGGCATTGAACGCGCCCTGCGTCCCCGACGTCACAGAAGTCATTGAAACGGGACAAAAGTCATCCAGACGGGAGCGCCTGGACTCCAGGTGACTTATTTTGTTTCGCTGCTCTCAAATCAAGGACGATCACCAGACAATATTGTTAGCGATCAGGAGATTTAAATCGGAAAGCAAGTCAAAAGCTTGTAGGTGGCCTCCGAACCTGGCTGCTCCCAGACAGAAGTTGCTATACGATCCCTGGAGGATCCCCGAGCGCGCGGCTCGGGTTTGACGGCAGAGAGGCCCCCTCTCTGCCGTGAAACCCAAGCCGCGAGCTCGGGTCTGCAAGCAAGTTTCGAAGGCGACCGCCCTCGCCCATGGAGAAGGGCATTTCTTCCGAGACGGCGAGCCCGACCTACCGCTTTGCGGACGGCTCATTCTCATGTATTCCCTTACGTAATCAGCGTAACCTTTTAAATAAATTTGAATCTGAATAAACAGTTAAAAGGAATCGCACTAGAAATGATTTTTTAATTGGAGCGAATATTCTAACAATATGTTGTCTCGAGCAAAAGAGGACACTACCGAGGCTTCACGTTTTGTGCTCTGACCGAAAAGGTTGGCCAGCAGAACAAAACGGCCGGTTACTTGCCTTGACCCACGCACGACCAGGCAGGGCGTCCAAAACGACTGGTGCTCGGCGCGGCCCGCGTACAAGAGCGACCCGTTGTCGAACCCCGCGGCCACGGCGGATCTCGGCAGGTGGCCGTCGGTTACCGTCACCCATTGCTCTGCGACACGGTATCACATACGTTCCTCGATTAGCACTTATAATCGAACCTGGAGACGGAACACGTGCACTTATCGACACCATGTGTGTCGTTCGGTGACAAGCTCGGGCCATTATTGCTGAGTTTGCGACGTCATAGCGTGATGACGTTCCATGCAAACAAATAATGCTATCCATAGGATCTGATCATTCTAGGTGACGTAGGCCATGTACTTCTATGCACCCCTCCCCCCTTAAAACGGCCGTGAAACAAATGAAATGTAACAATATCCTCCAACTTTTCCGCTGAATATCTATAAAGGTTCAGAGTAAAGTAGAAGTCCCTCCAAGCTCTTTCCACTTTGGAAGAGCGAGCACTTCAGAGGAGGCGACCTCCTCGCCAGCGTTCGCTATGCTAAAGTGGCAAGAGTTGGGAACAGCTTGCACTTTACTCTTAGCAGCTGTCCCCGTCTGCGCGTCTCCGCTCGAAGGCAGCCGACCGCGATCCCCTCGCCGCCGACCTATCACCGGCGACGACGAAGCATCCTGAGTGAGCTGATCGTCCACGTCCTCCCAGAGGTCGTCCAGGACCGCGGCGGCCGTCGGGGCCACGCTTCGATTCTGGTCAGCATGAAACGCCGGCGTCGGGTCTTCGGAGGCCGTCCTGTCGGTGCGTGCTGACTCTCCGCGGCGGTTCCCGTCCTGGGGATCTTCGCCGACTGAAACGTATACCCAGAGGGCAGAGATGGAACATCGTGCGACTCGCGCTCGAACTCGGCATGAACATGCATACAGCTCTTAACGACATGTCCCCACGTGGAACATGCCTATCTTTCAGACGTTACAAGCCGATGGAGCCGATCAGGGAGCCCCGAAGCCGCAACGTCGCGACTGTCGTCTTCTTTGTCTGTGTGCGTCAACATCGTGCGACCCGGCGGAGGGCTCCTTTAAGAATCTGTGTCTGCACTTCTGGTGCCTGGAACGCGTCCAAAAAAGTGGTGCCTCGATTGCCGCCCGATGACGTCACTAAATCGTCACGCTGCCGCCGACCGCGATCCTGGTGGTGTCACAGCAGTGGTGGTGGATGTAGCAGACGCCTGTTCCACCGCAGGTCGCTCTCCGGCTTGACAGTGCAGAAGACAGGAGTTGGGACGACGCGACGACAGCGACACTCGTGTTCGCTCGCGCTTTTCCCCAGCATCTCTACGACCAACCGCCAGGATCGCGACGTATCCGACGTCAATATACGTGACGCTCTGGCTTTTGTGACATCATTTGTTGCTACTCCGGGACCACTTTCGACGCGTGCGCTGGATGGGACGCTACACGCACCGGTCTGAGACGCGTTCCAGGCGCCGTGCTTTTCCACTAGCTTAACAAACGGAGGGCGTGGCTTATCATGTTCCCGCTTCGTGATTGGTCCTTAGGCGTTCTTATCGGCTAACGCCGCAACCTCATTGCCTGCGGAGAGATAATAAAATGCCCGGCCAAGGCCCGCGTTTCTTAGGCTCTTGGTGACCATAGCCTTAGACTGCGCCCTAGCATGGGCTGTGGACACGTGCGCGCGGCGTACGTTGTTCCGCAGACGAGAGCTATAGCGCGTGCTCATAACGTAATTCAGGGCCCAGTGTGCAATAGACGTCATAACTACAAGAAGTTCGCCGACTTTAACCGACAAGTAGAACAAATTCAAAAGCACGCAGAAGGCAACGATGGCATGGTGTATAAGGTTGACTATGGAACGCAAACCCTACCTTCGTAAAAGGGTTGAAAACGGTTTAAAGGTATCAGTTTTTGTTTACGCTAACCAAATTTGGCGCCAAACACTTTTTTTATATAAAACTAACATTTGTTTGTTTTGTTTATTTTGTTTATTTTTGCTTCTTCATCGAACCCGACCCCCACAACGTACGGTCCCGTCCTTTAACGCAACTAAAGAAAGAACGTTCTGTTCAGATAAGATCATGCACGTGAGTCCAAACGTATTTTTTGTTAATGTTAATTTTAGAGCGCAGCTCTTAGGCACCCGTTTCCGGCTTGAGCGGCGTCGGCGTCGCCGTGGGCGTAACCGCGCTGTGCATTATGGGTAGATTTCCCTACTAAATTATCGGAAAAGTTTCCCCGCTAAATCTAGCGGAAAAATTTCCCCGCTAAATCTAGTGGAAAAATTTTTCTGAAGGGTCACGTGACCCCCACCACCGAGGTCACGTGACCTTGGGGGGTCAACCCCTCCCCCAGGTCACGTGACCCCTCCCCCCGAGGACACGTGACCCTCAGCACCCTTCCCTCCTCCTCAAGAGCTGCGCTCTAATTCGGCGTTACAGGGAGTTGTAATCGGCTTTCATTTTTTATACGTTACTCCTCAACATGTGTGGGAAACGTAATAAAAATATTGGAGAAAAACATAAGATTTGAACAGAAAAAATTGTTGAGTGCGCCAGAACGCCATACTCGATTTTTGAAGTTTTCGTTTGAGTCACGTTTGGTGGCGCCTATTACGCAAACTGCAAATATAAGAAATTTCAAATATTTTTGCACTTATAACAAATTATGGGAACTATTGATCTGAAATTCTGAATATGTACAACATTGAGATAAACCAATGATTTATATATCACCCAAAGAATGTTTTAATAAGAATACATGACAAATTGTAATTTGTTCCTCTATTTCTTTTTTTTTTTAGATAACGGGTCAGAAATTTATGAAAAAAACATCAAAGGAGCCATGTTTACGCTTTTTTGACGCGAAATATGTAACCTCCACAATGCTGTACATATTTTAATCGACAGTTCCTATGATCTATAATAAGTGCGAACTATTTGAGATCTTTTATATTTGTAGTTTGCGTAGTAGGTGTCACCAAACATGACTTTTTTGCCAATATTTTTAATTAAGTTTCGTTCACATGTTTAGGAGTACCATATAAAAAAATATCCGCCGAATATTGCTTTGGCAGGTCGGTGAAAATCTTTGTGCTTAGATGTATAGCTAGTATTTCACACGCGTATACCAGGCAAATCCTTAGACTGTGAAGAAAAAAACGTTGTGCCTTTATTATAAAGTCACCAGTGCACCTACTCGGACGTTAAAAAAAACACCGGTCGTTTTTAAGAGATGAACCAAAAAAGCCAATGTATCGTTTGTCGCATAAATGAACGCCGAAAAGTTAGTATTCTCAAAACGTGACCTCGGTCCTCGAGCGATTCGGCAAATTAACCTCGTCCGCTGACAGTTTGCAAATGGAGAGAGCAATTGCAGCGTTCGTACGAGTGCGCACAGAAACCAGAAGTGCTCGAAAAAATTTAACACTAACCTATTATGTCAATTATACTTACCCTGAGGTTCCGCAGCAGGGTATATCATTTCTGCGCAATGCAAAAACAAAATAAAAAGTAAGAAGCGTAAAATTGACTATGAAACAATAACACATACACTTGAACTAAAAGCTAATAAAATATTTACTAGCTTTTATTTCGAACCAACTAGCCCAATCAAGAGTCGGGAATTAACTACACTGTTATCACAGCTAGATTGAGAGGTCAATATTGAGTCAGCTCGTGACGGCCACAAGTTAGAAGCACTGCTCGAGGGGTGAGCAAACTTTTGCGTGGTCCGTGAACGGCTCACCGCTCGGCCAAAAAAAAAAACTGGACTCCCTTTCCGTTTTTCTGTTTGAACACGACAGCTTGTCGTTGCCAGCCGCGGTGAGTCGTAGACCAGGCTCGTGGTGGTGATTGGCAACATCCAGTGGTTTCGTCACGGAACGGGACGTCGTAGCTTGCCGCGGGACATGTCGTGGCGAAGAGATGAAGTCTCCCCGGCTTTGCCGTGAACTTTCTCCGGCTCGCCACAGCAACGGCGCCAGTTTGCCATAACCCTTAACTCTGTCGTCGGCGAACAAGTCAGCGTCCACCCCGGCAAGTTAATTGTTGGTTTCTTTTTTCTTCGAAATAGAGCTACTGCCTTGAAGTTTTACCAGATAAAATCCCCTACTTGAAAACACAATCGGTGACCAGTTCGAGTTTCATATATACTGGCGTCGTTTTCTTTTCTGACGCTTCTTACAGCGCTCTAATCTATTGTGGACACTCTATAGACTCGAAATTTGCCCAGTGTAATTCGACTACCAAAGGGCGGTCCAATCCAAACCAGGATCCGGTCGTGTGGGAACGTCCGGGACCCGAAAGCGACGTCGCCGTTGACGTCAACGGATATACTTTCCGTGCTCCGGGAGACGGAACGAAAGTTGCAAATGTTCATCCTGCCGGGACCCGGACGCGCCCGGATTCCGCAGGAGCCAATCAGGGGAGGGTGGTCCACCACGAAAGGACGAAGCTGTTCTCGCAACTAAAGTTTTATTAAGTAAAAGAAACGAAACGAACAGCGTAGTCGGCGCTGATTATATCAACCAACACCTACTCATCTATCAGGCACCACACAATCTTCGGAGCTGGAACGGTTCACACACCGCTATTCATAATTAGCTCGCAAAAAGCAAACCTCTTTATTTTATACAGAGCTATTGACGGCGCACTACCAAGCTGTCAATAAATTGTTGTATTTTTTACGGGTCTACGGTGTTCTGATTTTATACCCTTGCGGCGTCAATAATATACAGAATGGGTTTTTGCTAATTTGTGAGAAATTAGTCAATTTACCCAATGAACTTCAAAAATATTACAAAAAAAAAATAATTATTTTTAATGAAGTGACGAATTCTAATTATGCTAAATTGCTACGTGTGGCGCGCAATCCGCTAAGCTGAGAAAAAATTTAAAAAAAAAATCTGTGAGATTTTTTCCGCATTTGCTCAAAGACCGGTGAGCTTTTCTCCGTATCTCCCGGTTTTGCGGTGAGCTTTTCTCCGGCGAGATTTTCTCCGCCGCCCACCCCTTCAACCGCAGTCACTAAGTCAACCTTAGCTGCAGTTTCGCTTCACCACAGTTGCCCCACTATATCTCGGACATCTATTTCAGATGACGTGAAGAGCTCGCGTGCACATGGGCGTTCAAGATGCGCAGGGGCGCCCACAGCTTTAAAGTCACAAAGAAAGCGAGCGTACCTGCATTGAAGTCTGCCCGTGTAACTAGGTTATTTTAAGAGGCGAATAGGCGTGTCGCGTACCACCGGTCAGGTTGATGAGGAAGAAGACGAAGGCCACCAGGGCAGCGGGAAAGATGCACATCCCGAACAGCGTGTTCACGCACGTGTTGCACCTGCGGGACAGGACAGCATCCCCGCGGTGCCTGCGTGGGCCCCAGGAGGCCGTCTTTCATGTCCCGTACGAAAATGTCAAAACAAAAGCTTGGAGGACGCTGAAGCCTCGCCTTTAAGAGTGGAACGCAAGAGCGTTTTCGGGCCCCGTTCGCATCGCCTTCTCAATAGGGAATTTTCGTAGATCGTTTTCGCCGTCCCGCAAGGCCCTCCGCAACCCGCTAGGATAGCGGGAACTCCACAGTCAAGGCTGTCGGCGCGCAGGCGCAGTAGCAACTTCTTCGTTGCGGAACGCTTAGCGGAGGGGGCAGCGCGTTTGAGTGCGTTGCGGAGTCCTTGCGGCCAGGCGCGGTCGGTTGCGGAGCGACGCGCGCCTTCCCGCAACGCTCGGTAGCGCGACGCAAGCGAGTAGAGACTCGCTCAACTTTCCGAAGCGTTGCGGTGCGTTCGGGTGCGTTCGACCAATCAGAAGTTGAAAGAGAAGAGGGTGTGACGTGTTCGCTCGCCCCACCCGGCCGACTCGGCGAGACGTATCCGGTTCGCCGGTCGCAGTGCTTGCTTTTTCGTTTTGGGGAGCGGTGGGGACTGTAT